TGAATCGCCCATAGATATATGTGTATGAATACGCACACACACACATATATATGTGTGTGTGTGTGTGTGTGTGTGTGCACTTACCGGTACGGCAGGAGGATCTGAATCTCGTCCTGGGCGAGCTCCCGCGGGTCCTTCTGCGCCAGCTCGCACACCAGGCGGAGGCCGCACTCGTCCTTGTCCTCGGCCGCGATCTGGAGGCGCAGCAGATGGCCATGAAGATTTCAGTGAGGAGAGGCCATTCTACCCTACTAGTGTTGACTTCTTATGATTTTTAAAATAATCAGAATAATAGAAAGTCATACTGATCAGTATCTCACTAAATAGGCATTGAAGCGTATGTAATCTTATGTAACATTTAGTTCGATCGAATTTGTTGAAAGGTCTAGCTCATAAATTCTTGTTCCACCAGGAAGGCCACACTGAGGTCCATCACAGCATGGCCTCAACATGACAAGCCATTCATGCTGACCGTTATACGCCAGCCGCACTTCCGCGTCGTCCAGGAATGCGACCAGACTCCTGCGTCGCCTCCTTCCGTAGTAGCCGCCGCCACACCAGCCGCAGGAGCCGCCGCAGCCGCCGCAGCCGCAGGAGGACACCCCATGATGATGATGCCGATAATGGTGCTTCGCGACAAGAACGCCCTTCAAGGACAGGCGGAGATATCATCTTAGCCATCAGTATTTATAATAGTATTAATGTATTATTGTTATTATCATTGTTATTATTATTGTCATTATTATCATCATCATAATTGTTATTGTTGATAACTTTATCATTATTTCCCCCGCCGAGGTTATGTTTTTGTTAGCGTTGCTTTGTTAGTTTGTTCGTTGGTTAACAGGATAACTGAAAAAGTTTGGGGTAGATTTTTTTCCAGAGTTGTGTCTTAGCCCAACTTGGATGCCATGAAATTTTGGTGATGATTCGGATCATGATCCGGATCCAGGAAGTTTTTAATGATCGCATCAGTTAACCTTATTACCATTACCTTTGTTGCCTCCGCCAAGAAGGTCATGTCTACGTACGTCACCAGCGTACTTGGGAAAGGGGATTCTAGTGCAATTCTTCAAGTGGGAATATTTTTATTGCATCATTGATCCTATTACCTTGGCGGAGGTATGCGCTCTCTGAGTGCTTCTAGTTATTATTATTGTTGTTGTCATTGCTGCTTTCGTTGTTGTTGCTGCTGTTGTTATTGTGACTTTTATCATTGTTATCATCATTATCCTTTTTATCACTTTTACTATCATCATTATTATTATCATTATCATCATTATGATTATTATGAACATTATTAGTGCCATTATCATTATTATAATTTTCACTTTTATAATCATTACTATTAATATCATTATTATTATCATTGCCTTCATCATTATTATTATTACTTCTATTACTATTCTTATTATCATTACCATCATTATTATTGTAATCATTACCATCATCACCATAATAATTATCATCATTATTATCATTTTCATTATGAGAACAATGATAGTGAGGATTTTGGTTACTGTTATCATTGTTTTTATAATCATAATCATTGTCATCATTATCAATATCAAGGTAGGTGTGGCTGCTGTTATCAATGTTATTAATCTTCATAACCAGTATCGCTATTGTAAAGATAGCAAAATATCATCGATTTTTTATTGTAACTAATAGTTTATCAAATTAATGTTAAATAACCAATTTATATACGAAATTACACCTGTTTCTTCACTTCTAAATTTCAGTTTATCAAATTATCACAAAAACATCAATCATTCTGCTCCTGTCAGACAGCAAAACAAACAATATATAAACTGATTCTTCAAAAAATCATATGTATGTTTTTTTTTTTTTTTTTTTTTTTTTTTTTTTTTTTTTTTTTTTTTTTTAATTCCTCATCACCTGATTCCTCTAAAAAACATAGAGCGATTTTTTTTCCTCCTCAAAATCTAGCTTGTCACTCACCCCAGTGAAAGCCAAAGCGCCTACCGCCAGGGTGCCGACCCCCCTGCAGCACGGGGCGGGGGAAGGATCCACGCCCACGCCCATCAGCAGAACGCACGCCCACACGCCCAATGCAACGCTAGACGCCCTCATGATCTGAAACAATATATATTATTATATTTATTTGTATTCATATATATATGCATACATACATTTATATATATATATATATATATATATATATATATATGTATGTATGTATGTATGTATGTATATATATACATACATATATATGCTTGTATATATGTGTATAAGTAAATATATATATTTACACACACACACCAACATACATGTGTGTGCGTGTGTATGTATATGTATGTATATATATATATATATATATATATATATATATATATATATATATATATATATATATACACACACACACACATATATATATATATATATATATATATATATATATATATATATATATATATATATATATAAATATATGTATATATATATAAATGTATGTATATATATATATACATATATA